AATTTCCCCACAGTGGTGTTTAACACTTCCCCAAGATTTTATTTCTTGGACCCTTTCTGTCAGGCGGGTGTGGAAGAAAAAAACGCGTAATTTTGTTTTCTCCCCCCAATCGATGTGTTCGGGGAGGGAGGGCACCCTCCGGTTTCCGGGGCAATTTGGGATTTTCCGGAGAGGGAACCTTCAAGGGATTTTGTTTTCTCAAAGGAACTGGGTTTCAACACCCCTTTTCCGGTTTCGGAGGAAAAGGGGTAAACCCTGTGTTCGGATTATGGCCAACCCTTACCCCTTAATGGCAGCTGGGAAAATTTATTTTCGCGAAGTTGGTGTGGATTGTAGCAATTGAGGCACTTCAAAAAGGGGTAAATGATAAAACCCGTAGGTGGTAATTGATTTGATTCCATCCAGCAAAAGGATCTTTTTTTGCCTGGATGAGACAGGAATCTTTTTATTAGATAAACTGCACATGACACAGCTTCACTCCATAGAGATGGGGAACACGACCTGAGATAAGCAGACATCTTGTCGTTTCCTCGATAGTACGATGACCACGCTCTATGCCACCATTTTGAAAACTATCGTACGGAATAGTAAGCTCATGAGTGATACCTTGCTCAATGAAAAAGTCATGCAATAGTTTATTTCTAAATTCACCACCATTATTAGTACATAAAGAACTTACTTTATATCCACCTCTAGATGCAAAAAACTTTTCAGTTTTCTTAATCCAATTGATTAATTGAATAGGAGCATCTTTCTTATCCTTTAAGTGGATGACAATATACTATCTAGGAAACGCATCACGAATTGTCATAAAATATTTGTTATCTTCAAATTCCTTATAGCGAAAGCCACCACATAAATCAACCTGAACTAATTGTAACGGACAGGTGAGTTTGGTTTCAGATGGCTCACCTTTACGCATTACGCCCTTAGCAAGAGCACACGTAGGATACACGGAAGTTTGCTCTGGAACAATCCTTGGAAGTGAGAATTGTCTAACAACAGTATTGTACCTATCCAAACCGGGATGGCCAAAACGGGCATGCCAGCGAATAGCAGTTGAAACAGGTTTCACATCAGAAGGAAGTAAGGGATCACTAATGGCAACAAATGACATTTGCGTTTCTTCAATCTTGGATAAGGATTGATCGAGAACATACAGTTTCTTGTACAGACTTCCAATCTTGGTCAATTTGTTGTTAGCAGATAATACATAAGCACCAGTTTCATCAAAAGAAAAAGAACAACCTGCCTTCTTAGAGGCTTGACGAATGGAAATTAAGTTAACCTGTAAGTCAGGGACATAAGCAACATCACAAAGAGTTAATTTGCCAACCCGAACATCACCATAACCTCTAATTTTAACAGCACCGGCTACACCACTAATAGTACCATTATTTGTGGATGGTCTAAAGTTAGAGAACGATTCTCTATTACATGAAATGTGAGTGCTACATCCTGTGTCTAGAAGCCAAATGGACTTATCCTCAGAAGTAAAAGAGGAGGGGGATAAAATTTGAGAATTAAAACATAATTCTCCAGATTCAGTAGCAATCCAAACACCTTTAACTTGGACATTTGAGGTAGTTTTTTCCTCATTATAGTAACCAACCATCCCTGTTTCCCAGATTTCTTTCTCACTTTGGTTGGTTGTTGTCTTGGAAACAGTCTTATTACCATTAGGACATTTAGATGAAGCATGAAAACCTTTGCATGTCTTGCACATCTGTTTTTGCTCATTTCCGTACCATTTCCTTTTGACAACAAGAGCAGTACCGGTTAAATCAGCCGTAGAAGACTTATTAGTCTTGATAATACTAGATACCTCCCCGAAAGTAACAGTATCCTTCTGACCAAGGAAATGAAATTTTTTTCTTCAATGTCTGGAGTGATAGCTAACGCCATTGCACCAACTAAATCTTGCAGCTTTCTAAAGTATGCAATAGATGCATTTCTAATAGTAGGATCAGGAAATTCGTTATTCGACTGATCTAAATCGAACATAACATCTAAAAGTTGGACAGCTTACACAACTCTGTTCCGTAGTGTCCAATTACAAAATATTTCAAGTACCTTAGAATAATTCACATCTTCTATCGAATCTGAACAAGGCATAATCTACTGTTGAATTAATGATCTCTATACGAAGCTGGTTAATGAAATAATCAAGATTCCTACACATTCCTTTAAACTTTTTGGTGCTAGGAAGTTTTTATTTAATAATAAGCCATTTCAAAAAGAGTATTTGATTGATCTTTATAGCGATGTTGAAAATTTGTACGATATAAAGTTAAAAGATCTTAAAAATGTAAGTGTAGTGGCAGAGATTACAATCAAATATACCAAGGGTGCTGCTTTTGAAAACTGAATTCAGCCAAGGAAAAGTATTATTCATTTATTTAATAGAGATATACGGAGGTCAGTAAATGCAGCACCTCGTTCCTATAATGAAGATGATCATAACAGAATAATAAATATTATCTTTAATTGTCTAACTTGTTTAGTGTTGATGATATACATTTCATCTGGTGGTCCATATAGGTTTCCTGAAATGAGAGTACTTAAGTTTGCTAATAATGAAAGAAATCTGTTCATTAACCCGATTGACAAAACAGTGGAGCTCATTACTACTTATTCAAAAAATAAATCCCATATTCCTATATGCAAGGTCGTCGATGAGTTGACTTCAGACTATATTATATACCCTATTATGGTTCTATTTCCAATTATCCGTACGCATAGTCATGAGATGAATTACCTTATGAATCGTGATTTGCTAAATTAAATTAGTTCAGAAAGTAACTTGAATCCAAAAATTATTTGCGTCACATCTCAAGTTTTAGAATCTTATTTATTTGCAGATCCTATTAGAGGGAATTTGAATGCCGATATTAATTTTGATTTCCTTTTTAAACATTATCCTTCATACGAACTGGAAGACTTACGCTTTAATTTTGGGGCCTTAAGACAGGCAATTATTGGTGTTCAGAGGTATGAGTTAGGTGTCGATGATGCTGGTATGCGTATCGACCCTGCAGTTGCGAGATGGTCTGGTCATTATTTGTTGACAGACATCCAGAATTATGTCGCTAATTTAACAGGTATGGAAGGATATTACAATAATACAGAATATATAGGTGGATATTTCATTTCCAAATCCTGGATAAAATTATTGGGTCTTGGATATGAAGTTATAAAATTGGATCCTAAAGATGTAAAATTAAGTAAAGAAAGGCCTGAATTCCAAGTAAGTGGCGACATGAATGGTATTCTTTCTAAAGGTTGTAAAATTTATGGTGATTCATTTAATATTAAACAAGAACAGATGAAAGTTTGTGTTGATGTTTGTTTTTGTTCCTCTGAAATTATTCTGGTGCAATCTCTACCAGGCTTGCATAACACATTTATTTTTGAAATACCTTTGGATATGATTGCTAATAATAAAAAGGATAAGTATTTTGATTGTTTTGTATTTGTGCCATACAGCTGTCTTCTAGATGATATTATGGATCAATTAAGCTGCCTGCTACATGTATTATTGGTCAAGTCAAAAATATTATGTGTAACCATGGATTCTGTGGTGAAGCCGATCTTACCTGCGATGTATATTTTAAAACCTTTCATGACTTTGGCAAAGAGCAGTTCGTGAATCTGATCAATAATTGGTATGATATTTTTCAGAATAATTTATTGGGTATGATGGATGGTAATTGACGAAGCTCACAATATTGTTTGTGAAAAGGAAATTTGTATGAAGTCATATAATATTTCTAATATCTGTTTAGACGAAGCTTGGAAAGTTATACCTCGCTCTGGTACTGTTGGAGAGAGTACGATGGGAGAAGTGACTAGATTTCTAGGATATAGGCAAGATTTGACCTATGATGCTACTGACGAAAAGAACATTTTTTTGTATAATTTTGTTTAAGGATGTGCTTTTTAGTAGAATAGATAAGGAATTCATTCTTACTAAAGACAGATCTGAATCCATTACTTAGACCCTGTAATTGGTTGAAGGAATTATTAAAGCTGTTGATAATCCCAAAATTATTCTGGTTGTCAAGGATAGGGAAATGGTAAATATTATAAGTTAATATTTGGTGAATTACAGTATTTCTTCTTGTTATGTTCATGGAAAATTAACATCTGAAGAAAAGACCAGTTCATTCAACAGTTTCAAGAAGGACAAAGGAAAAAAAGTTCTTGTTGGAACTAAATTGGTTTCAGAAGGTATTAATATTCCAGAACTGAAATATGTTATTTTGGTTGACGATCTTCCTCGAATTCATGAATATATCCAGACTGCTGGTAGAATTAGAGGAGATGGTGCATGTATTACACTGTGGAATGAAGCATGTAGAGATGAATTCTCCATCAATTCCGAGTGTATCGTAAGCCAAATGAGTAGTTTTTATGGACTAACAAATTCATTTGAACATAACTCTTGTTGTGGTTCATATCAATTTTTGAATAATAATTATTGGTGGTTGGGTATTTTTGGTAAGAAGAATGGCAAAATTAATAAAGTAATAGAGAAAAAGAGTGATAATATTAAATTGAATTTTGGAAATTTAGCTAAAAAGAGAAAACTGTTTCTTACAAGAGCGAATAAAACGATCCACCCAAGTAAGAGGCCTCATAATGAAACAAAGAAAACTGATTCTAAACCTGACTTGAAAGAAGAGTTCCATGCAAAATTTAAAGATGCAAGTGATATTTATGATTTCTTAGGAATTGATGGTATGTATAAGTCTGCCTTGATTGCAGATGGAGTTGAACAATCCTACTTTGATTTTGTTCTTTATAATTCTAAATCTTGTTCTGATTGCACTTTTATTGGAGATCCTTGTTATTGTTGGAAGAAGAAATTCACTGTAAAGCAACTTGGTATTAGCTGTTTTGCTTTTATGAAAATGGCTATGACTGATAGAATGTTTTCAGCTGAAGTTAAAGAATTAAAGAAATCAGGTCTAATGGAAAGAACACTCCATTTTGTTGAACAAAGATCTTCAATGAAACAGTTATTTAAGGAAAATCTATCTGGATACTGTGATTTTATGACTTGTAGAAATACTCTTGAAGTGAATGAAGCCCATGATTTTAGAAAGATTGTAAATACTTATAACGTTAAGTGGAGATTTCTAAAACAAAATAAGTTCGACATCTTTTGGTATTTCTATAATGGGTCACTTCATAAAGCTCCAACATTATGGGACAAGCCATATGACGAATATCTAAGAGAACTTATTCAGTCTAATTTCAGTAATTATGCAAATGTTTCATTTAAGGCCACTGAGGATACCAGTTTTAAATTCTTTAAATCATTATTCAAGTTTCAGAAATTGAAGGAATGTTCAAAATATGATCAAAATAAAGATATGATGAATCATGAAAGAATTGGTAATATTGACTTAGATTTCTATTGATGATACTTGGTCTCTATTATAATGTTACATCTCGAAACATTTTGAACAACTTCTATACCCAGTTGCCTAATGTAAAAATGTTCCACCAGTGGATGAAACTACAGAGGACCTGGATAAATATTAAAACATTGAATTTGCATAATTTTAACATATGTCAGCCATTATATTATTATTATCCTAAATTTGTATTAGAACTCAAACATCCTAGAAAAAATACTAATTAAGTTTGTACTGGAGATATATTATATGTGTATATTAAAATGGATATAAATCTTTGTTGTGATGTTAATGTGTATTACTTATAGAACCATTCATTGTCATAACCAGACCAGATAATCGTGGCAATGCCACGATCCAATGATGTCAGGGTCTGTTTTATAAGGCCATCAAATCACACCGAGGCTGATATCTCAATTCTAAGCCAAAGTGAAATATTCTTTTTAATATTCTTGTAATTCGTTATTCACCCTGAAAAGATTAAACTTTTCTTCTCGCTCACAAAATGAAAAAGTTTTTCCCGGTCGGTGATGTTTGTTAGGGAAGGTATTAAGACGGTGATGGCGTAAGGTAATGAGGATGAATGTTGCAGGTAATAGTTAAAGTGTTGATAATTAAAGTAATGGTAGTTGAAGTAGTTGTAGTTGAAGTAGTTGTAGTTGAGTTGAGATAATGAAAATGGACATCTAAGGTAAAGGTGACATGGAGATTAAGATTATTGAATAAAATATGGCATAACAATAAAAGTTAGTCTATAACAGTAAGCCGATGGTTAGAGAGAATATTCAATAGTGACAGTGTCGATTGTGAGCGCAGATTCGAAACCAACAGGGTGTATGTATGCTTGGATGGAGGAATATCAGTTGGGTTAGATTGGGTACCAGATTGAGACATAGTTAGGATATTATAAACAAATTATTGATTGGATTGGTTCTAAGGTATAAGTACAATTATACGTTAGAAACCTCTAAAACTGTTGTTCTTACATATCATTATAGAAAGAATAACTAAAGGGTGAGAATAGTTTTATTAACATAAAAAACTATCCCTATAGATGCCTTACCTATTCCATCCAATTGGTCTAATTATATGCTGATTTGTTGTTTTGCTGGTATACTGGTTTGCATCTATTGATTCCCAGAATCCAACACTGGTAAGAGAAGTTTTGCAGAAGCAGCTAGGTAAAATTGAGTTGGAAGTACCTATGATAAGCATTCCTTCAACGTGATATATTTATTAAATATCTATAAGAAATAGCAATATCGTTAACACGGAAGGATATATATTTGATTATCGTACTTAT